ACCCTGTACATGGACGTGTGGGGCCCAGCCCGCATCAGTGGGCAGGACCGCGAGCGGTACTTCCTGCTGGTTGTTGACGACTACTCGCGTTACACCACGGTCTTCCCCTTGCGCACCAAGGGTGAGGTCCCTGATGTTTTGATCCCTTGGATCCGCGCTGCTCGTCTCCAGCTCCGCAAGCGGTTCGGGACGGAGTTTCCCGTCCTGCGTCTGCACTCTGACAGAGGTGGGGAGTTTTCCTCCGACCTTCTGCAGAGCTTTTGTCGTGGGGAGGGCATTCGCCAGACGTTCACGCTTCCGGCCTCTCCGCAGCAGAATGGGGTTGCTGAGCGTCGCATTGGCTTGGTCATGGAGGTCGCTCCTACCTCCATGGTCCATGCGGCTGCCCCCCATTTTCTGTGGCCGTTTGCGGTCCGCTACGCCGCGCATCAGCTCAACCTCTGGCCCCGTGTCTCCTTGCCGGAGACCTCGCCCACACTGCGGTGGACGGGGGAGGTTGGCGATGCGTCGGCTTTCCGGGTCTGGGGTTCTCGTGCCTTTGTCCGCGATACCACCGCGGACAAGCTCTCCGCCCGCGCTGTTCCCTGTGTCTTCCTTGGCTTTGTCCCTGACGCGCCTGGTTGGCAGTTTTACCACCCCACCTCGCGCCGTGTCTTCCCCTCTCAGGACATCACGTTCGACGAGTCGGTTCCCTTTTACCGTCTCTTCCCCTACCGCACCCTCTCGCCCCCCCACCGCTCTTCCTCGCTCCAGGTGCTCCCCAGGTAGACCCCCTCCCCGCTCCCGGTCCTGCTCCTTCAGGTGTGTCTCAGGTAGACCCTCCTCCCTTGACTGCGCCGGTTGAGGTTACTGGTGACTCCGGTCCTGCTGAGGGTGGTCCTGCTCGGGGTGCTGCTTCTAGGGGTGCTGAGCCTGGGGGTGCGGAGCCTGGGGGTGCTGAGCCTGGGGGTGCGGAGTCTGGGGGTGCTGAGCCTGGGGGTACTGAGTCTGGGGGTGCTGCACCTGGGGGCGCTGAGGCGTCTGGTGAGCAGTCTCCCTGGAGCGGCCGTCTCCGTAGTCGCTCCGCTGGTACCTCGCCGCTGCGCTCTCGACGTCGTCTCCCTCTCTCCCCACAGCAGCTGCGTGAGTGGTACGTTAGCTGTCAGGGTCGAGCTGCTAAAGCTGGAGGCCCTGCTGCGGGAGGCGCGGTGTTGGAGGCACTGGAGCCGGCGCTGTCCCTCTCTCCCCACAGCAGCTGCGTGAGTGGTACGTTAGCCGTCAGGGTCGCGCTGCTGGAGCTAGGGGCCCTGCTGCGGGAGGCACTGGAGCTGGTGACTCTGCTACTGGAGTTGTTTCTACTGGAGGTTGTGGAGCTGTTGGAGGTGCTGGCGCTGGTGGCACTGGAGCTGGAGGTTTTGGAGCTGCTGCGGGTGCTGGCGCTGGAGGTTCTGGAGCTGTTGGAGGTGTTGGCGCTGGTGGCACTGGAGCTGGGGGTTCTGGAGCTGCTGCGGGTGCTGGCGCTGGGGGTTCTGGAGCTGTTGGAGGTGCTGGCGCTGGTGGCGCCGGAGCTGGAGGTTCTGGAGCTGCTGCGGGTGCTGGCGCTGGAGGTTCTGGAGCTGTTGGAGGTGCTGGCGCTGGTGGCGCCGGAGCTGGAGGTTCTGGAGCTGCTGCGGGTGCTGGCGCTGGAGGTTCCGGAGCTGCAGGAGGTGCTGGGGCTACTGGTGCTGGTGGCACTGCACCGCCGCGACTGTTCTTCGCTCCGCCATCACTTTCGTCTGTGCCACCGCCTGGCTCCGTGCTTCGCCAGGATCTTAGCCTCCCGTCTTCTACTGGTCTTCCGTTACAGCCTGGCTCACCGCTGCCTGCTCCTTCTCCTTACACTGAGCTGACAGGCGGTCTTGCTGAGCGTCGTGAGCCTGCGTCTCGTCCTGTCTCGCCTGTTCGCACTGTTCGCACTGGTTGTACTGGTCGTCGTGTTCCTCGTGAGCGTCCGCCGGCTGTCGCCGGCACACACCTCATGGCCCTGTGTCCTTCCTCTGCTCCGCAGCATGTTCCCCTGCCGTCCCCTCCTGCGTCTTCTCTGCCTGACGGTCCAGAGCCTGAGTCTGACCGCGCTCGTACTGCTCACCCTACGGTCACGTGTGTACTAGCCACAGTTGTCACTGACCCGTCGTTTGAGTCTGCTGCTGCGTCTGCCTTAGTCGCTGAGCTTGTTGACTTTGCTGCTGCCTGTCGTCTAGACTACGCCGCTAGTCTTGTTGCTGAGTCTGAGTCTGTCTGTCCTCCGTCCGTCGGGGGTGAGTGTGCTCTTGGCACGGACGTCCTTGAGGACAGGCACGAGGATCTTGAGTGTCTTGCAGCCGCTGCGCCTCATCTCGTGTCCATGCTGCTTGCCCCTGAGGGAGACCCGGATGCTCCAGACATCCCGACCCCGCGCTCTTACGCTGAGGCGATCGCGGGTGAGTACTCCTCTCAGTGGCAGACAGCCATGGACGCATAGATGGCATCCTGGAAGTCCACAGGCACTTACGTTGACGAGGTTCCCCCTCCTGGGGCGAACATCGTCAGTGTCATGTGGATTTTCAGGGTGAGGCGGCCGCCAGGTTCTCCGCCTGTCTTCAAGGCTCGTTACGTTGCTCGAGGTTTCAGTCAGCGAGAGGGAGTTGACTTCTTCCAGACCTTCTCCCCCACCCCGAAGATGACCACTCTTCGGGTGCTACTGCACGTTGCCGCTCAGCGTGACTACGAGCTTCACTCTCTTGACTTCAGCACAGCTTTCTTGCAGGGCAGCCCGCACGAGGAGATCTGGCTGCGCCGCCCGCCTGGCTTCACTGGGTCGTTCCCTCCTGGTACCCAGTGGAGCCTCCGGCGGCCGGTCTACGGTCCCCGCCAGGCGCCACGTGAGTGGCACGACACACTGAGGACGACACTTGCAGCTCTTGGGTTTGCTCCGTCGACTGCTGACCCGTCGCTGTTTTTGCGCACCGACACTTTGCTGCCGCCGTTCTACATCCTCGTGTACGTCGACGACTTGGTCTTTGCCACTGCTGACACTGAGGCTCTCGCCCTGGTGAAGTCGGAGCTGCAGAAGAGACACACGTGCACAGACCTGGGTGAGTTGCGCAGTTACCTTGGCTTGCAGATCACCCGGGACAGAGCACGCCGCACCATCACACTGACTCAGTCACACATGGTGCAGCAGGTCCTTCAGCGCTTCGGCTTCACCTGGTCCTCGGCACAGCCCAACTCCTCTGGCTACAGGTCACTCGCTCTCAGCTCCACCTTCGGACGAGTCCGTAGAGCCGAGTGGTCCTTACCCAGACCTAGTGGGCTGCCTCATGTACCTGATGACCTGCACTCGTCCTGACCTTGCGTACCCTCTTGGCCTTCTGGCTCGTTACGTGGCTCCTGGTCGGCACCGAAAGGTGCACGTGGATGCTGCTAAGAGGGTACTACGCTACTTGTGCAGTACATCGGGCATGGGGCTTGTGCTTGGATGACGGAGCGATGTTGTCCTCACCGGGCACTCAGACGCTTCTTGGGTTGACGACCAAGCTACGCAGCGGTCGTCACAGGGTTACACCTTCAGTCTTGGCTCTGGTTCAGTTTCTTGGCGTTCTACACGCTCGTCTTTAGTTCTCAGCTCCAGTTGTGAGGCTGAGATCTACGCCACAGCCATGGCTGCACAGGAGTTACGCTGGCTCACCTATCTGCTGACCGACTTGGGAGAGCGACCTCGTTCTACTCCAGTGCTGTACGTCGACAACAAGGCCGCCATTGCCTTGTGTCAGGAGCACAGACTGGAGCACAGAACGAAACACATCGCTCTGCGTTACTTCTTGGCTCGAGAGTTGCAGCAGCGTGGTCAGCTTCGTTTTGCTCACGTGGCCACTCGCGCCAACACTGCTGATATATTCACCAAGGCACTTCTGTCTGGTGATCATCAGCGTTTCTGCACTTTGTTAGGCCTTGTGCCCACTTTTCCTCACTTGCTGTAGACTTTGCTTGTACTGTGATCTATATATATACCTGCATGCTTGCTCTGCTAGGTAGAGATCACTGTACTGTTGTTGTTGCATATATACCTCTGCATGTGAACTGGCCTTGTGGCCCTTTGCTTGTGCTCAGTGTGTGTGGTGACGTTGTGATCCACCCTGAGCTTGCTTTGCTTCTCTTGACTGGTCCCGTGACCCCTTGCTCTCCCCCACTTTGCCTATGGGGGTGTGTCAAATTATATGCCTGTGTCATAATAAAATGTAGGCTTTAGTGGGGTAGCTAATGTAGGGTATAGGTTTTGTTACTTGTACCCAACTTTCTCGATTGTGCAACCATCCTTTCCCTTTACTCTCGACGTAAGGACTGGTGATCATCGGCGTTTCTGCACTGCTCTAGGCCTTGTGCCTACTCTTTCTCACTTGCTTACCTCTTGACTTTGCCTTGTACTGTGATCTATATATATATATATGCCTCCATGCTTACCCTTGCTAGGTTGTGATCATTGTATTGCATGTGAATGAGCATTGTGGCCACTTGCTTGGACTGTGTGGTGACTTCGTGATCCACTTCGCTTCTTGTTGTCCCCCACTTCGCTTATGGGGGTGCGTCAAACAATACCGTATATTTGTTAGGTTATAGGCTCTAATGAGGTACTCTCTAGAGGGAGCAACCCAATGGGGGGTTTACTACCGTACTTGTACCGTATCTTATTATTCCTGCTAGTCATTCTCATTCTACTGTCCTAACTTAAACAGTACCGTATCATGGTATTACTCACTCAATTATTGTTCTCATTATACCAGCTCATGAATTCCGACTTCCGCTGCAATACATCAATAAGGTCCTAAGGGCTTTTCTCAGCCCACCTTCTATGGAGACTTAATTTTGGCGGGCTTCATATTTTCAAGATTATTTCGGCAGGCCTCAATTTAAAAACGGGGGTGAGTATTGTCACATTCGATATAAGCAGACAGGTGTATCTGTTTGCGACATGCCTTCCACTCTCATGCTCCCAACAATATAAATCAACCAGATGCGTCGCGGGCAAGGGCCTCTGCCTCGCCCGCCACGCCAGGCATCCACACGGCGGCTTGCGAGAGAACGTCGGCCAGCAGCACGGGGCGACCCGTGTCGATGGACACATGCGCCGCCACCCCCATGGCCATGGCCAGGCGCCCCTCCTCCAGCCCCACCAGCTGCTGCGATGCCCCCTCCCCGCCCTGCGTGACAACGCGCAGGAACTCGAGGTGCTCGATGAAGCTCGCCCCGTGGTGCAGCCCCTCGTACCTGCCACCGCCAGGGGGGCACGAAGGGGTGATGGCACATGTGGGGGAAACTGACTGTCTGTGGTGGTGGTGGTGGTGGTGGTGGTGGTGGTGGTGGTGGTGGTGGTGGTGGTGGTGGTGGTGGTGGTGGTGGTGGTGGTGCAGAACGGTGTTAAAGAAAAAACAGATTGTGAAGTGCGTGTGCGTGGACTGCATGTGATGTGCATGTGATGTGCATGTGATGTGCATGTGATGTGCATGTGATGTGCATGTGATGTGCATGTGATGTGCATGTGGTGTGCATGAGATGTGCATGTGGTCTGCATGTGGTGAGCATGTGATGTGGGTGTACTGTGGTAGAGTGTGGAGCATCCAAGGCCAGTGGTCTCACTGTATGCGCTCATCGCTGCATGTGCGAGTCACCACGCCCTGCCTGCCCCCGTCACGCCTGCCCACCCGCACGATGCCTTCGGGGACCAGCGCCTCCACCTGCACGCACATGCCATGCACCCACCGCGCCATGCACCCACCACATGCGCCATGCAAGCAAGTACAGTGGCAGGCAGTGGGACACGTGCAAGGACCAAACACGCAGAAGCAGCTGCTATGGACCGGACCGCGCTCACCCACGGCAAGCCGAGAGCATCTCCAACCACTCCACCAACACAGCGTGCCACATCCCCCTCCCGTATCTCACCTTGCCCTTGTCCCCCACCACGCATATCTCACCTTGCCCTTGTCCCCCACCACGCATATCTCCTGCTCATTGCGCGACCCCTCGGCGAACATGCAGAGGTCAAGACAAGCCCTGCCGCCCCCCTGGTACTCCACGATCACGTAAGCGTTGTCTAAGATGTCCGACACCTGCCATGCCATGCCATGCCATGCCATGCCATGCCATGCCATGCCATGCCGCCATGCCATGCCATTCCATTCCATTCCATGCCATTCCATTCCATGCCATTCCATTCCATGCCATTCCATTCCATGCCATTCCATTCCATGCCATTCCATTCCATGCCATTCCATTCCATGCCATTCCATTCCATGCCATTCCATTCCATGCCATTCCATTCCATGCCATTCCATTCCATGCCATTCCATTCCATGCCATGCCATGCCATTCCATTCCACATGCCAAATCCACATGCCACTGACGATGTTCGCCCCAGGTGGGGGAACCTCGTCAACGTAGGTGCCTGTGGACTTCCATGAAGCCATCTCTGCGTCCATGGCTGACTGCCACTGAGAGGAGTAGGGACCCTCTATCGCCTCTGCGTAAGAGCGCGGAGTCGGGATGTCTGGTGCATCCGGGTCTCCCTCAGGGGCAATCAGCATGGACACGAGATGAGGTAAAGCAGCAGCAAAACACTGGAACTCCTCCTGCCTGTCATCAAGGACGTCCGTGCCAAGAGCACACTCACCCCCGACGGACGGAGGACAGACAGACTCAGACTCAGCGACAAGACAAGCAGCGTAGTCTAGACGACAGTGAGCAGCGAAGTCGACAAGCTCAGCAACTAAGGCAGACGCAGCAGTGGACTCAAAGGAAGGGTCAGTGACAACAGTAGCCAGGAGACGCGTGACAGTAGGACTGGCAGCACGAAGGGAGTCAGACTCCGGGTCAGCAAGAGCAGGAAGAGAGGACGCAGGAGGTGACGGCAAAGGGACACGCAGTGGAGCAGTGGAAGGACGCAGTGCCATCTGGTGCGTGCCCGGGACCGCAGGAGGACGCTGGCGTGGAACACGAAGACTAGTGCGACCAGCACGAACAGGCGACGCAGGACGAGACTCAGGCTCACGACGCTCAGCAAGACCTCCAGTAGGACCAGTGTAGGGAGGAGGAGCAGGCAGTGGGGAGGCGAGCTGTAACTGTGACTCGGACCGGACAGGCTGTGGACACTCTAAGGAAGGAGCAGGACCAGTAGAAGGCGGGAGACCAAGAACCTGCTGAAGGAGTGGAACGAAGTACGGCCGCGGCCGCGCAGCGCCTCCAGAACCAGCAGGGACAGCACCAGCACCCCCAGCGTCAGCACCAACGCCAGCAGCACCACCAGCTCCAGCAGCACCAACTCCAGCACCCCCAGAAGTACCAGCTCCAGCAGCACCTCCAGCGCCAAGACCTCCAGCAGCGTCAGCTCCAGCAGGACCACCGGAAGACGCAGCAGCACCTACGTTAGTAGCACCTCCAGCTCCAGCACCAGCAGCTCCACCAGGCCCTGCAGCTCCAGTACCGCCGGTACGAGCACCTCCGGGACCCGTGGCTCCAGAACCTCCAGCAGCCGCAGAACCTCCAGCACCGGTAGCACCACCAGCTCCAGCAGCACGACTCCAGCGGCGAGCAAACCACTCACGTAGCTCCTGGGGAGAGGGCAGCTCCCGCCGGGACGAAGCACCCGAAGGACCTCCAGGCCCAGCACCACCATGCTCCACTCGAGCAGGCCCAGCACCCTCAGTCTCCGCACCCCCAGACTCAGCAACCCCAGGCTCAGCACCCCCAGACTCAGCTCCCCCAGACTCAGCACCCCCAGGCTCCGCACCCCCGGGCTCAGCACCCCCAGGCTCAGCACCCCCAGGCTCCGCACGCTCAGGCTCAGCACCCCTAGCAGCACCAGAGTCAACAGCTACCTCGACAGGCTCGACTGCGTCTACCTGGGACACACCTGAGGGGGCAGGACCCTGAGGGGGGAGGGGGTCTACCGGGGGGGGACCTGGCGCGAGGAAGAGCGGCGGGGGGGGGAGGGGGGCAGCGCGGTAGGGGAAGAGACGGTAGTACGGAACCGACTCGTCAAACGTGACGTCCTGGGAGGACAGAACACGGCGCGAGGTGGGGTGGTAAAACTGCCAACCAGGCGCGTCAGGGGGGAAGCCAAGGAAGACGCAGGGAACAGCACGAGAGGACAGCTTGTCCGCAGACAAGTCTCGGACGAAAGCCCGAGATCCCCAGACACGGAACGCAGACGCATCGCCAACCTTCCCCGTCCACCGCAGGGTGGGGGAGGTCTTCGGCAAGGAGACCCGGGGCTGAAGGTTGATCTGCTGCGCCGCGTACTGAACCGCGAACGGCCACAGAAAATTGGGGGCAGCCGCATGGATCATGGACGTACGAGCGACGTCCATGACCATGCCAATGCGGCGCTCAGCAATCCCATTTTGCTGTGGAGAGGCCGGAAGCGTGAACGTCTGGCGGATGCCCCTCGCACGGCAGAAGGCTCGAAGAAGGTCGGAGGAAAACTCTCCACCTCTATCGGAGTGCAGACGCAGAACAGGAAAGTCCGAGCCGAAACTCTCTCTGAGCTGGAGACGAGCAGCGCGGATCCAGTTGATCAACACCCCAGTGACCTCACCCTTGGTGCGCAAGGGGAAGACTGTGGTGTAACGCGAGTAGTCGTCAACCACCAAGAGGAAGTAACGCTCGTGACCCTGTCCACGGACGCGGGCTGGGTCCCACACGTCCATGTGAAGAGTCTGCAGCAGAGCCTATGTCGGCGGAAACTCGGAGGAGTGAGGAGCGGCGCGCTGCCGCCCCTCGACGCAGGGAACGCAGGTAGGGGCAGGCCCCGGAGGAAGGGGAGGGAGGGACCTGGGGAGACCAGAGACAAGGACACGGGAGGCCATGCCTCGGAGACGAGGCAGGGAGGGGTGACCAAGGCGGTGGTGCCAGAGGAGGGTCTGGTGGGACAGGAGGCGACACGAGCAGGGGGCAGACTCAGGACCAGACCTGGACGCTGCAGCAAACACCTGACCCGACGCAGCTACCTGACCAGACGCAGTAACCGGAGGAGACTCGGTAGTCAGTGTGTACAGGCTTGACCCCGGCTGACGGGTAAATGTGGCCAAGTGTCGGCCCGTCCGAGCACACGTGCAGTGGGTCACCCGCTGACTCGCAGGAGTGAACTGGTCAACTCCCCCATCCTGCAGGTCAGCACCACTCACCAAGTTCGTAGAGAACGAGGGGAGGTAAAGACCGGACAGGGAGCCAGACGGGGCCGCTGGACACGGTAGTACAGTGGAGAAGTGGGCAAGGACAGGACCCCTAGAGGGGTCTGCCAGGGAGACCGCAACCGGCCGACTGAGCGGCGTGAGGGTGGTGCGGTCTCGAAAGAAGGGGCGAGAAGCACCTGAGTCAAGGGTGAAGGTGTGCAAAGCCTGACCAGACGTGGTACCTGAGAGAGCAGACTCACTAGCACCTGGAGCAGCAGACTCACTAGTACCTGGAGCAGCGGACTCGCGAGCACCTAGAGCAGCAGCCGCAATGCTCGGGTCAGGCGGAACACACAGGTAACAGTCACCCTCATCACTAGTAGACACAACATACATGGCAGCAAGAATAGCATCATAGTCAAGATCAAAGGTAGCTACACCCGACTTGAGCAAATCACCCCAGCGAGGGATCTCAGAGGCGTCAGGGAACTGGAGACGCCAGGCGTCAGTCAGGCGGCCAAAGCAGCGCTGGGTGGTGTGCGGGCCGCCGCACGGCTCGCCAGTGCGGTCGCCGGTACGCAGGACGTAGGCACAGGGACCAGCAACCCCACCTCGCTGACGCGCAGCGTACCACTCACGAAGCTGCTGGGGGGGAGGGGTCTCACGAGTGCGCTGCTGCTGCTGGCGCTGACCACCACCGAAGCCTCCCCGCTGCACAGGGCCACCCCGACCAGCCCCACCGCCGCCGCCGCCACCGCCGCCACCGCCGCCTCCTCCACTCCCACCGCCACCGCCGCCGCCGCCTCCGCCGCCGCCACCAGAGCCCCCACCCCCTCCACCACTCCCACCGCCACCCCCACCCCCTCCGCCGCCCCCACCTCCACCACCACCGCCCCCGCCCGCTCCCCCAGCACCCTTGCCCCCCCTGCCCTTGCCGTTGCGGCGCCTCCCGCTAGGGGCAGACGCAGCGCCGACCGACTCGGTGCCAACGAGGTCGACAGCAGCAGAAGAGGCAACAGAGGGCAAAAGGGGAACGGGGGAGCACCCCTCAAAGAAAGGGGCACGAGGGTCACCACGAGAGGCTCCTACAGCGACTATACTCTTCTCAGCTGCAAGGAGGCGCTCCTCGAGGAGGTCAACGGTGAGTGTGGTGGGGCAAACAGAGAGGAAGTGGTCCTTGACCGAGCGAAGGGAGTCAGGGAGTCGGGTGACTAGGTAGTAGAGGGTGATGTACATAGGGGGGGGGTTCTTGGCGCAGAACTCAGCAGGAAACGCAGCGCGGTAGCGGGTGTCACTAGTGCGGAGGTGCGTAATGAGGTCAGCGACTGTGGCAAAGGCGGCGAGGTCAGGGAACAGGTACGGCAGCATGAGGCGACTAAGGGCAGCAGTGGCAGGGGAGGAGTAGCGTGCCACTACACCGTCGTACAAGGTCTTAGCAGTCTTGTACTGGCTAAAGTGCGTGCGCTCAGTGGACGGCAGGTGACTACGCACAGCAAGACGGGCAGCAGCATCGCGCGTGGCCCACTGTGAGCGAACAGTACTGTCAGCATCGGCAGCAGGGGCAGTAGAGGCACCAGACGTGAGATCGAACAGTGAGAGGTCGTGTTTGCTATCGCACTGCAGGAAAAGCTGCAGATCATCTATCCAGACCTCAAAGTCTACCGCTCGACCCTCAGCATCAAAGGTAAGAACGTTGGGACTAGCCATGACAGTAGCAGCAGCAGGCTAGCAGCAGCAGCAGCTGAAGCAGGTTAGCAGTAGCAGCAGTAGGAGGGGCGCGGCTCGGCGGTGCGCTTACCAGGGGCGGGTGGGTAGAAGCCCGCAAGTGGTGGGGCAGGGTCGAGGTGCGCCGGCAGGATCAGGGC